AAGTTTCCATTTTTCCCTCCTTAACTGTTTAATGAATATAAAAATAACATCTACTAGATATAGACCAAATGCATATATATATATATATATATATATACAGTATATATATAGAGAGATAATTTTAAAATGGTAGAAATATTAGACTGTGGTCAGTGCACAGGAGAGAAGCTGCTTACACGGTCCAGAAAAAAGAAGCAACAATCACTGTAGTCACAATGATTACAACCATGCTCGTCTTCTTCACGGCCCATCAGATGGGAGATGTGCATGCTTACATTATATGGCAAGCTAGATCAATGTAAGCAAGCAATAAAGCTCATTCCTGGAGATCAGTTTTAACAAAGCAAATGTTAGTTCCTGAAAAGCGATCGAAACTACTTAGACCACAATTGACCAGGCAACTATAATTTTCAAAAGGAGACCGGTTATGACAGTAGCAGTATTTATGTCATTATTTTTCCTTTTTTCATGCATAGAAGTGTACACATTCATTAGCTTAGGAATGCGTTGTAAAAATGCAACCAGGGTCAGCATGGGTTTTGCAACCACCACTGCTACAGTCTACTCCCCTAATTTCACGCTGCAGTTTTCCCCTTTTCATGGCACTATACTTGTCACATATCAGTGTTATAAACATCTATATGGTTAGAAACTGACATCTAATGGGAAGAGGAAGAACTGCGAGTTTTTTCCTGCAGCCAGTGAGTTTTCAAATGCTAACTGCTTGTTGTCATACTGAATCTCTTAGTTCAGCATTTTGAGTCACTGACCCAGAGCAAGAATGCAGATATAGACTTAATTTCTGGCCATTCCAATCTTCATACTGGTTTTGGCTGTAAGACTCCAATAGTGACCCAGTGGGTCAGAGTAATAGCCAGGCAATGAACATTTCCAGAAGGTGGTAATCAATAGCAGTTCTCTTACTTTTCTTATGATAAGATTACTTTAACTGGAAAGATATTAATGTGTTTGAATTTTTCTTGCTAGGCCTATGTCAACTTGCTGTTCTGGTTCCAGTTCTTCTGTGGCTTCTCAGGTTCTACCATGATTGATTACTTGCAGTTGGTCTTTTTCAACCTCTTCTTCACTTCTGTACCTCCACTTATCTTTGGAATAATGGACAAGGATGTTTCTGCAGAGACCCTTCTCAGCTTGCCTGAACTTTATAAAAGTGGTCAACGTTCAGAGGTATCATTGACTTGTTTTATGGGATTCACTTCTGTTTTTTGTTTCTTATGTGTTCTTAGTGCTGATACCTTGAGCCCATAGACAGAGAGGCTTTAACACAAAAAAGTTTATGTGGTTATATTTATACCCAAAAAAGGTTAAATGTTAGAAACTATTGATTTTAGGAAAAAATTTTGGGCCACAAAACTTGGAGGATGGGAAAAAACTTTGTCAGGCAATGCTTTCTAGTGGTGGAGATTGCCAGCTCACCTCCTTGCCTCCAGCTAGAAACAAAGCAGTGATGCACAATCTTAATGACTGCAGTCTTTTAAGCAACAGAATTGTTTATCGGTCAGTTGCATAGATTCCAATTGTCCCTCATTTGGAGAGACTGTCCCTCTTGAGACCAAATCCTCCTGTTCCCTGTGCAGACTCGGTTGTCCCTCCTTTTGGTGAAATCTTTACATCGCTATACAAAATGTACTATTTTACTACCAAAATTGTTTCGTCCAACCTCTGCATTACTAAATTTATTTTGAAAAGCAAAAATAAAGGAAAAATAGCAGTTAAAAAGCACTTGTGTGGTTTACTGCATATTATATCTTTGTTGTCCATGTAACCAGGGCTGTGACAGAGATGTGTACTTTGTGCTAAAACGGGCATTTTAATTTCAGAAAGTTGGGAGGTATGCAGTTGGTGGGGCTGGACACCAGGGTTATGACTAAAGCTGGCCATAGTCAACTAGTGGACTGAATGAAAAAAAACTGAACAGATTCCGCCATCCACACAAGCAAGGTGACTGGGGGAATCCTCCCTGCAGCACTACTGTATTCTGACAGCAGGACTTCTCCACTGTCAGACTACAGTAATCAGCACTGCAGCCGATTAGCTTCGAGTGCTGACTGAATGCAAATTTAACAACAGCCCTGTTTGAGAGGAGTTGGTCATTAGATTGACTTATCGCAAACAGGATCAGCCATAGATGGATCAAAATTTGGCTAGTCCCTGCTGAACAGACCACATTTCGATCCAACTACGGACAGTTTTAATCAGGGGCTTAGGATGGTTCTTAAAATGCTACCTGGAAATGCACCAAAAATCGGTACACTCTTAAGTGGAGCACAGCTTTTCCTGATAAAACTTCACACCTCTTGGCAATTGTCAGACTCTCTGTAATCATGAATATTTATTTCTATTGCAGTCATACAAGATGTCTACCTTCTGGATTGCTATCCTAGATGCCTTCTACCAGAGTCTTGTCTGCTTCTTTGTCCCCTATTTGGTAGGTGTTGAACCCAATTAAAACATTTTAGCATTTTGATAGATAAACAATATATTTTGTATTGGATTTATTTTATTTTGTAAAGTGCTGTGAAAACTGTTGGTGCTATGTCATTTGTGTATAATATTAAATAATAACAATTGAGATCACAGCAGTCAAAATGCTTTTAGATCACCAGTACTCCTGGAAAATGCTAGCGTTGCTAAATCCAGACCTGCTGTCTGACTTTGGTAAAATAAACTTGGCTTTCTTCAGGTCCATTGGAACAGATTAAAAATTCAAAGGGATACCATGCTTGCAATACATTATCTGCTCACTTCCCAGCCATTTTCATTACAGTAAACACATTAGTGATCAGTACTGCTGATACATGGAATGGTTTGGCAGCTGTTTTGCTAGAGAACTCCCTTAAATAGAGGTCAGAAAATCTGCACTTTTTTTTTTCCAACCTTCAGAAATTCTTGTTTTAATGGAAAATGCAGTTTTATCAACAAAGACATAAAAGCAAGTCAGAAAACAGAAATAATACCAGTTTATCTCTGTGCTATCAGTACTAAAGAGTGAGAATAACCTTTACCTCTCTTGCCATATCTTTATTGTTTATTGCAATGCCAGTGTTCTCACGTCCTCTTTTGCAGCTGCCTGTACTATATACCCAGAATGTCACATCACATGCCACCAAAATATTCAGTATCGTGCAACAACCTCTTCCTATGAATGTGTATCTTGAACTGGCTTGTAAGAAATATGTATTGTGTGTTCCACTACCGTTTTTTATGGGGGTTTTTTAGCAGCCAAGATTCATCTTTACCTCAGCAAATTCTTAATTAAAATGTTTTCTTCCTCTTGTTTCAGACATTCTACAAATCTGATATAGACTTTCTTTCATTTGGTATGCCTATCAACACCATAGCCCTTTTAACAATTATTTTACATCTTGCCATTGAGATAAATAATTGGGTAAGTTTTACTTTCCAATCATAACAATTGTAGATTGTAAGTTTCCTTTTCTGTTAAATATAAAAAAATGCATGTTGAATAAGAGATGTTACAGTAAGAAAAACTTGTTTAAAATGGTAGGAATTAACTTACAGGCGTTAAACAAAAAAATAGGAACTCTACATGATTTGCAGGTGTGAAAGTGATGACGCATTTGTAGCTGAAAGCAGAAGTGATGTAACATTCTTTTGCTTTTGCTGTGTGACGAGACACCTAGCTAACAGGTGGGAAGCCTCATTGTCGTCATTCACTGCGCACACAGTTAGTAATACGCAGTCATGTCTTAGCTTACTTAACTTCAAAGAGGGTAAATTGTTGGTGCCCACTTAGCTAGTGCCTCTGTGAGTGAAGCTGCCAATTTATTGGCGGTGTCACAAGGTAATGTATCAAAGGTTATAACTACTGCATAAACCGTTTCCAAGAAAACATCGTCTGATAAGCATAAGCGTGGTCGATGTGGCCAACTGACTGAAAGAGTGAAAAGGACATTGCATAGGATTGTGACCCAGAATAAGAAAAACACTTCTGCAAAAGTGACTGCAGAGCTCAATCTCAGTCTTCACAGATGCAGTTGTTCCCCACTGGATCCCACAAAGTATTGCACCCTCGATCAGTGGAACGCAAGTGCAATGTCAGGCTTCTGAAGACATGTCCTACAGCTGTCTGCTCATACCTCTGTATGGGCTTTCATTCAGAAAGCTGGAGGATGTATGAATGGACTACAAGTATACTGATCAATGCGCTCATATTCCATAGAGAGCTACAAGCTATCTGCTGCGGTGTCAGATGGGACTTTTAGTTTATTCATTAACAGATCACTGTAAATGAAAGACATAGCTGTACAGGCAGTGCCTCTCATAGAGGCATGGATTTGTAAATGTGACAGTGGTTGCAGGGGAAAGAAACTTTAGGGGGTTAGAAGGGGGGCTGGAACATGTGACACCCTAAATGTGGGGGTAACATGTTCTTAAGGTGAACTTGGCCTTTAAAATTATCTTCTTTCTTTGCATTTGCCTGCAATTTTTTTTAAGTTAATGACAGGTTCTCTTTAACCACTTGCCTACCAGGCACTTATACCCCCTTATTTACCAGGCCAATTTTCAGCTTTCAGCTCTGCCGCACTTTGATTGACAATTGCACGGTCATGCAACATTGTACCCATATGAAATTTTGATCATTTTTTTCTCACAAATAGAGCTTTCTTTTGGTGGCATTTAATCGCTGCTGGGCACTTTACTTTTTGTGCTATAAATAAAAAAATTCAAAAAATTTGGAAAAAAAAAAAAAAGTTTCTTTGTTTCTATTATACAATTTTTCAAACAGGCATTTTTTCTCCTTCACTGATGTGCGTTGATGAGGCAGCACTGATGGGCACTGATAGGCGGCACTGATGGGCACTGATAGGCAGCACTAAAGGCCACTGATAGGCAGCACTAATGAGGTGGCACGGATAGGCGGCACTGATAGACAGCACTAATGAGGTGTCACGGATAGGCGGCACTAATATGCAGCACTGATAGGCGGCACTGATAGGTGACACTGATGATGGGTACTGATAGACGGCACTGACTGGCATCACTGCTGGGCACTGACTGGCGGCACTGACTGGCACAACCCCTGGGCACTGACTGGTGGCACTGACTGGCAGCACTGCTGGGCTGCACTGGTGGGTGGCACTGGTGGGCAGCACTGGTGGGTGGGCACAGGTGGGTGGCACAGGTGGGTGGCACTGGTGGGTAGCACTGCTGGGCACATGTAGGTGGCAATTCTGGGCACAGGTAGGTGGCACTGCAGAGTGGCACAGGTGGGTGCACTGCTGGGCACAGGTGGGTGATCTGCTGGGCACAGGTGGGCAGATCTAGTGGGCGCACTGCTGGGCACAGGTGGGTGGAACTTGCGGGTGGCACTGCTGGGCACCGATCATCAGGGCATTGATCATCAGTGCCCTGATGATCAGTGCCGATCCCCGCTCTGACAACTGCCGGTTCTCGGCAGTACTTTCCTCACGATCTGACAGCATGAGGAAAGTGCAGCCGAGAACCGGCACTTGCATTTCCCTCTGATCAGCGTGTCATTGGACACCGCTGATCAGGTGGTAAAAGGCCGCTGTGATTGGCCTTTTACCACATCACGTGATCAGCTGTGTCCGTAGAACACAGCGATCACAGAGATCGCCGGGGGCCCGCAGGAGAGCGCGTTCTGGGAGGACGTCATATGACGCCCTGCCAGAACTGGCCGGCCGCAGTGAATCCGTCTTTCGGCTATCTGCGGTTGGCAGGTAGTTAAGCATACACTCCAGTCAAAATTGAAAATTAAACATTGAGAAAAATTAGGAAGCATAGCCTACCTGCTGAGTAATTTGGTTTTTCATACAGAAATTGCTGTAGTGCACCAATGCACCCACTGATAGTGATGCTGGTACACTGTCCTTACAGTCTTTCATACGCAGAAAACCTGATGTAAAAAAAAGAAATCCCACCACTATGAAGCTTCTCACAGCCACCAATACAATTTTTTTTTTTTTTTTCAAAAAAAATATTTTTTTTATTCGAAGAAAACAGGCATAACAATGCATATACAGTTATGGATCCAAATCTGAACATAACATAGCATGTTGCCTCCCGTTGTGCAGACGGGTCAAAGCACAAAAGGCAATACAGAATATAACGGTGTAAGACATTATGACAACATAATATTACAATCCAGTAAATGTACAGAGTATAGGAGAGAAGCAGGGAGATATATTGCCTTCTGACCTATGAGCAGGATTTTATATCAAGGGAGTGTGAAGCGTGGAGTATTGTGTAAAAACAGCACATGATGCAGCTTTAGTTCGGTTTCGTGTGTCCATGAATTGGATATGTGAGGTATATGGAGCATAGCACACCTGTTTGAAGGTCAATGCTCTGTATCGTTTATGATATAAAAATGATGATAGGAGTTGAATACAGGTGTGAGCTAGAGATCAGATAGAGAGAGGGTTAGTTAGAAAAGGGTATGTAGTATAGTATAGTGGTAAAGGTAAGTATATAGGATAGAAAGGAAGGGGAAAGAGAGAGAGAGAGAGAGAGAAAGAAGGTGGGGAGGGCTTAGGGTAAGGTAAAATGGGGAAGTGGAGTGTATAATTGTGGATAAATGGCTCACGTCATGTTGAATGAGCCACAATATAAATATAAACCTATAGCTTAAGAAATACAATTTAAATCAGCATTGAAAGTTTGAATGTTATTGGTCATGCAGAAAGAGCAGGAAATTACACAGCACAGATTTCAATAGAAGTACCACTGTTCTCCATGGCACAGTTAGTGTTTATTCTGCATGGGATAACAAAGTACTCAGACTAGGAGAAATGGAGGAACCCTTTTGACTTTAACACAGTTGTTGCATATACTGGATAACATTGATGCTTTCACTTGCTGCCTTGAATTATTTGTTAATTAAAGTTGAAACCTGTTCCTATGACTTTTTTTTTCTGTTACAGACCATTTTGCATTGGGTTACAATGATTGGAAGCGTCGTTCTCTATTTTGTTGTTTCTTTGGCCTATAATGCCATCTGTGTTAATTGTGATGTGCCAAGTCCATACTGGGTCATGGAAAAACAAATGTCTGGAGCCACTTTCTACCTGCTCTGCATTATAACACCAGTCATTGCTCTCTTGCCAAAGTAAGAATTTTTATATTATTTCTAGTTCACCATTGCCTTTCACTTGTGGTACTGCAAAGTGTATAGTGCATTCATAGTGTACAAAACATTTTAATAGAAGGGTACCTGTCATGTTGAGGAGCAGCTATATTGTTGGCAAATACAGTATATACAATTAGAATTATTATTGCCACCACCATTTTCAATTTAATAAGTTTCAGTAATGTAAATCAGGCCATTGAGAAATTGCACATAAAACCTATGAAACAAATGAGAATATTTTGTACTTCTGTATAAAGCTGAATTATCATTATGATCAGCAGCAAAAATATACTGTATATCCAGTGTAAGACAAAATAGTGGCCTTGAGTGGAATAGTTAAGGTGACTCTGATGTATAAACAATTCATAAAGTCAGATTACACTCAGTTATGGACTTTGTCATCCACCGATAGCAGTAAAAAGAAATACTAGTGGTCAAAGGGATGAACGCTCTTATGGATTAAAAAAAGTAAATATTATCAAGAAATTTGCTATTCTCCTGCAAAATATAATAAACATCCACCACTTGGACAATGAGCATGCTGGTGACTATTTTCAGTGACTGTATAAAGAATACACATTTTCATATGTGTTCCTATATGACTGAACCCTCATTCTACCATCATTCCATTTTTTAGCCCTATTCTGGATTTAAAGGGGACATGCTCTGCATGACCTTTTGATACAAAGGTCTATCTAAGAACGTGAGCATGTCACTGGTGGATGTGGAGCTCACAATCATTTTGGCACCAGTGTATATGTATGACTTCATATATAGCACAAGAATGTTAGAAGATGTCATTTGTGGACACTGTATTAATGTAATACACAATTTGTTGATTTCTTTCATTCATGCGGTTATATTGATGATATACTGTAGATGTATGAGTATATAGCATATGATCTGAAGTGCTAGATAGGATTGATTGATTTGATTTATTTACATTTATCATGAGTGATATTTTTTATCCACTTCAAATGCTAGTTACTTAGGGTTAGGTGAAGGTTGTACCACAAGATAGTCTATAAGAAGCATTAAATGATGGCAAAATGTTAACTGTCTAAAGTTTTCAATAAAAGACCTGCCTAAATATGGCTAGCCTAAGGGCTTTTGTCAATGAGCTTTGGGATTATGTTGATGGTAATAATTTGACATCATTTAGAGATGCTTCTGCAACTGCCAGTCAAATGCACCTGTCAAAGAAATATGAATGATCATTCTGAATCCATTGATAGGTATATTTGACCTGCAGTTGATCTCCTCCTGAACTGCAATTGACCTTCTTCAAGCAGGGTTTATGGTAATGCAAAACCCATTTGAAGTAGAAAAAAGCCAGCTGAAACAGATCTTTAGTAATACTGACTGAAACATTTTTCTTTACCACTAACTATACTCATATAGGCATGCTTGAAAAACTGAACTGTAACCATTGTATTTTTTAAACAGGTATTTTATCACAGCCCTGCGAGGTACTTGGAAAGTGGCTCCAACTACGGAAGCTCACAAGCTTGATAAATTAAGGAAAGAAGCAAGAGAATTAAAAATACAGGAGTGGAAGGAGAGAAGTCGAAATGTTGCAATGACATCCAATCCTAGCACTGTAACCCTGAATAGCAGTTTACCAGCAACTCCAGAAAGAGTGCTTCACAATGTATGTTCACCCAGCCACAGGGACAGCCTGCACAGTTCTCATAGAGAGGACATTCCAAGGTCACATCGGCCAAAGCCTATGCCCAGTGCTGCTACCCCAGCTAAAGGTGTGGCAGATCTTTTGAGGGACACAGACGAATTTACTAGAGCCAATCATCGCAGATCTGTCAGCACAGTAACTGTTTGACCCTGGACTTTATCTGTTTGACCCTGGACTTTATTGGAAAGTTGCACATTTTCCAATGTGTTTGTACATAATATCCGGCTACTGGTTAACCCATATTGGGAAAAATAACAGAGGTAGATGCTGCCTTTATCACTTCAACTGTGAAGTTATTTAGAGACAATTTGGATAAAAAGAAGTGCAACACAAACTTTTTTTATCAAATGAAGGAAAACCCAAATCCATCAATCTGAACTTTTTTTTATCTACATACATATGTTGTGAGAGACTAACATTTTTAAGCTGCTGGCATTGTGCAATTAGTAGTAAGGCTACATGGTTCAAAAATATGCTGTGATCATATTTCTGCTTAATCATTCCTTTACTTTGAAGTTCTTTATTTACAGGATGCATTTGCAGGTACTTTCCCTGTTCTAGTACTATTTGTGCCTGTTTTGTGGTAGGTAGTGCTTTTATGGGTCTCTCAAAAGGCAGAGCAATAAACACATCTATAATACTGTATGGAGATCAGAGGTAGAACACAGGGTGCTTGGGTGAAAAGCTTTTGCAGGGATAATGTGCAGGCACTATATATCTGCAGTAGCCTCCAGAACCCTCAAGTTACATCTTAAATACCAGCCATTCAGACAGGCAAAGCTCTAACAAAGACAGTTCTAAAATTGCCTGACCCTTCTTGCCTCCTGCATAGTCCTATTGGCCCATGAGGATGCCACAGCGATGACCACAGTCATGGACCAGTATAACTGAGGGATTGTGGGGCAAAAAATTACGACACTAACTTAAGTGGTTGAAACTTTTCTTTTCAGAACAGCCACAGATTGGGAAATTCTGTGAGCTCCTCCAAGCTAAGTATATTTTTTATTGTTATAACCAGGAACTGATACAAATAGACACTGGCTTAGAGAAAGCTTCTTATAGTAATATCTCTGCCACACAACTACAGTTTACATACACCTTCAGGCTTTACAGTGTTTACTGTCTATTTAGTGCCTAGTTAGGCCACGGTTTGCCAAGAACCAAAAATGTTCATCTTACCTAGCCAGCAGGGTAGTTATTAAAGATAACAGAATGTCTAGTTTGCACAAATAATTGTACATGGATTAACAACTTGAATTCTGTTTCTGTTAGACATGTATGAGTATTTTATTTAATTTGCTTTTACCATTTGTAAAAACAAAACTTTGCATTTATTACTGTGTTCCAGTGTTTACAATAATTATGATTCTATTATTAACTAAACCAGTCTGGCAAAGTTTTCAGATAAATTTATTAATTTGAACAAACGAATCTTGCATCATACTGGATCGCATAACCTACACAAATCAGATTCCGCTTATTTGTTTTCAAAGACGAATTAAAAGATTCAGAAAGAAGATTGTTAGAGGAAGCAACACTTTC